CTACACACAAACACAGCCCGCAAAGTTGCAGGGCTCGCACAAACAAAATCGCCTCATGTCGATTGTGCACTAAATGTAGTGAATGTGCCTACGTCTCAGTGCCCACAAACACTACACACCACATGTCCCACGGGTTCTGTAAAAACGAAACCAAGACGCATTCAGTCAGCTCAGGCCGACGGTGTTTTTCAGTGCAGTAAATGTGCCCGCTGTCCTGCGCCCACATTCACTCACAGACATGTTAAGCCCCACGGGGCTCACCCCGCTCTCTCTCCCTCAGCAAACTGCTATAAGGGTTTTGAGCGCGATCGGCGCGCCCCCGCCTCACACACTGTAAACACAGTGTCTGCGTTACAGCACGCCGGAGCTCCCTTGCCGTCACTATGTCTCGGCCAGAGCCCAGATCTCATTCTACCCCTAGCTATTCACGCGAAAGTGTGGGCACAGCTTCCTGGGGTATCAGAATGGGTGCTGAACACTATAAAAAGAGGCTATTCGCTACAGTTCGCTCGACGTCCCCGCCGTTATACGGCGCGCGTCGAGACGACGGTGAAAACGAAGTATCTCATCTACTTCGAGCCGAGATAGCGAAACTACTGAGCAAAGGTGCTATAGAACCTTTATCTCAAGCTCAGAGCAAAGGGGGCCTACACAGCAGATATTTTCTGGTACCGAAAAAAGATGGAGGTCTCAGACCCATTTTAGATCTGCGACAGCTGAACAGAGCGCTTGTGAAACGCCAGTTCAGAATGCTTACGACCAGGAAAATCCTCGCGCAAGTGCGCCACGGGGACTGGTTTATGTCAATAGATCTGAAAGACGCCTATTTCCAAATACAAATAGCGTCCCATCACAGGCGATTCTTGAGATTCGCTTTCGAGGGCCAGGCATATCAATACACAGTCCTGCCGTTCGGCCTGTCCTTAGCACCTCGTACATTCACGAAGTGCATGGACGCGGCGCTCGCACCCCTGAGAATTCAGGGCATGCGAGTCCTGAACTACTTGGACGATTGGCCGATTCTAGCTCGATCACGATCGGAGCTCATAGAACACAGGGCCACATTACTCGAGCACCTCGAGGAGCTGGGCCTCACAGTCAATTGGGCGAAGAGCTCACTGTATCCCAGTCAGAAAATTTCCTTTCTGGGAACAGTGTTAGACTCGCTATCCATGACGGCACGCCTGTCACCAGAGCGCGGACTAAATATTCAGCGCGTCGCAAAATCCTTCCGCCACGGCTCGATAGTTCCGCTCAAAAGGTTTCAGAAAATGCTGGGGCTGATGGCCTCAGCGGCCTCTGTACTCCAGTTGGGCTTGCTTCACATGCGCCCACTGCAGATGTGACTGAAAGCGCGGGTTCCACCCAGGGCATGGACAGCGGGTCTGTTTCGCCTCAGGGTCGACCTACAGTGTGTTTCAGCTCTGGAACCTTGGAAAATAACCGACTGGTATCAGTCAGGTGTGAGTCTGGGGACCGCTTCGAGTGTGAAGGTGGTGTCTACGGACGCCTCCACCTCGGGGTGGGGAGCGCTGCTCGAGGGCAGACCGCTAGCTGGCCTGTGGTCAGAACGGGAAAAGCTCCTTCACATAAACTGCTTGGAGATGATAGCAGTCGACAAAGCGCTACGGCGTTTTTGTCCCCAGGTAACAGGCCACCACGTCTTGGTCCGGTCGGACAACATGTCAGTGGTGGCATACATAAATCGCCAGGGCGGCGTCAGGTCACGAAACCTTCACAGGCTGACGGAACGCCTCCTGGTCTGGGCTCAGCACAACCTGCTCTCACTGAGAGCAGCGCACGTGCCTGGTCACCTGAACAATGTTCCAGCAGGGGAGTGGTCGCTGCACCCGCAGACGGTCCAGCTGCTGTGGAAAACATTCGGCAGAGCACAGGTGGACCTTTTCGCGTCCCACGAAAACGCTCATTGCCCGAAGTCTTTCTCGAAAAGCAAGGACGCGCTGGCTCATGTTTGGCCCCGCTGCCCCCTATATGCTTTTCCTCCTGTCTCGCTCCTGCCTCAGGTGTTGGAACGAATCAGGGAAAACGGATGCCCAGTGCTGCTCGTAGCTTCGCTCTGGACAAACCAGACGTGGTTCCCTGCCCTGATGCAGCTGACCAGCACTGCCCCATGGCCTGTACCATTGAGGAGAGACCTCCTCTCTCAGGCGGAGGGCTCGATTTGGCACCCTCGCCCGGAGCTGTGGTCCCTGCACGCATGGGCCATTAACGGGTACCCGCTAGCCTCCCAGAAGGAGTGTTAAACACGATCGCGCAGGCTAGAGCTCCGTGTACCAGGCGGCTCTACTCCTCGAAATGGTCTGTTTTCTCTGCATGGTGTCAAGCCCAGAGTTTTTCACCTGTGGAATGTGGGGTTTCGGAAGTGCTTTCCTTCCTTCAAGAGCTACTGGATAAGGGCAGGACCCCATCCACGCTCAAAGTATATGTGGCGGCCATAGCAACATTTGCAAAACCGGTGTCTGGCCAGTCGCTGGGGAAGAACGACTTAGTTGTGCGTTTCCTTAGGGGAGCTCGGAGGCTAAACCCTCCCAGGCCCCCTTCAGTCCCGACGTGGGACCTTTCCATGGTCCTGGAGGCCATGAAAGGCGCCCCGTTCGAGCCAATCCAGCTGGTGGACATGAAACACCTGTCGTTCGAAACAGTGTTTCTCATGGCTCTCGCTTCAGTGAAGCGCATAGGGGACTTGCAGGCGCTTTCAGTAAGCGCGTCATGTATGGAGTTTGGGACTAATGACTCAAAGGTCATTCTCAAACCTAAGCACGGGTATGTGCTGAAATCCCTCAATACACCGTTTAGGGCCCAGGCAATTTCCCTGTCCGCCCTTCCGGTTCTCAATGAGGAGGAGGACGCGAGTCTCCTTTGCCCCGTCAGGGCATTAAGAGCTTATGTGTCGCGCTCGTCTGTTTTCAGACAGACTGAGCAGCTTTTCGTTTTGTTTGGCGGGCGCTCCAAGGGACTTGCCGCCTCAAAACAGAGCCTATCCAGATGGATAGTGGATGCCATTGCGCTCGCTTACACTGCAAAGGGCCTGCAGTGCCCCTTGGGTGTCAGAGCGCACTCCACGAGAGGTGTGGCCTCTTCGTGGGCATGGTCTAGCGGGGTTTCCCTGCAAGATATCTGTACGGCTGCGGGCTGGGCCTCGCCGTCTACATTTATGAAATACTATAACCTGGAGGTACCCGCCTTACAAGCTAAGCTTTTGGCGGTCAAAAAATTCAGTGCTATCTGCCCCGCTGTGCGGCCCAGATGCTGAGTTTACTGCATGAGTGTTGACACACGTATGGCCACCCAGATCAGGCTGAAAGCTTTCACCCTGGCTGCGCGTTTTATTGTCATATGATAGCCCCGCTGGGTGCTATTTTATAAGGAATGACGCTTCCAGCCTCTCTTCCTCCACTCTATGTGAGTTTATGGTGATTATGCACTATATGAGCCCTGGGCTTCGGCCCCTGGGACTTTGGTGTTGGATCCCTGTACGCACGGCGTGTTGCATTGTGTTCCCCTAGCGTAAGCTATTACGCAGTACGAGAGATACTCTCGTAAGAGAACGTACTCGGTTACTAACGTAACCTCGGTTCTCTCTAGAGAGGGAACGAGTACTGCTTATCTTGCCGTGCTTGGAATACGCTCTGGTTCGCTTCGGCGATGAAAACCAGCTTGTACCAGCCTAACGAGCATATTTATAGAGTGAGACCACGCCCTTTCTGGCGGGACGTGACGATATGGGCGCGAGTTGCCCCCATTGGTCATTACGTCACGCAGAGTCTCTCTCGATAGGCTGCTGCATTTGCCGCAAGAGCAGCCAATAGGCGCGCGAGCTGTATCGCCTGTGTCTGCTTGCTGCTGCAAAGCGTTTTACATTAATAAAAAATTAAGGATAATTTTTGGCTTCAATATCTCGTGGAAAAGAGGTTTTCCCCTAGCGTAAGCTATTACGCAGTACTCGTTCCCTCTCTAGAGAGAACCGAGGTTACGTTAGTAACCGAGTACGTTTTGTATTGCAATTTGTCTGGAATTTAATTAGATAATGAAATTAGTCATTGTCTAATTAAATACATGCACTAATTTGCATACATTTTCAGAACAGAAATCTAAACATGGAAAAATGCAAGCTCAAAATTCTTGATTATTATTATTATTTAATTTTTTTTTTATTGTAATATTTTACTGATGGGATTTTGAATAGCTCCTTTTATCACTCCATACATAATGAAACTACTGTTAACAGCCAGAAAAAAAAAAATTAGGAATAAAATTTGAAAAATAATTCAGGTGTATTATCTGTTTTTTAAATAATGTTGGAAAAAAGCAGTGGCATTCTGTTTTGTTTTACTTTCGTTTAATGTAATGTCATTTTGTTTCGTTTTTTTTAATAAATTTAAATTAAAATTCTAATTTTCCAAAATCCTTTCTAGTGTGACTGCACCCACGCCATTTCTGAATTTAAGTTTTGGCAAGAAAAGTTGTTCATCTTTCTGTTAGCAATTTTAAGGGTTTATTTTGAGTTATTTTTCCAGTCAGAAAATGAATGTATTAAATATAAAAAACATGCTCGTAACAGACCAAATCAAAGCTGAGCTGACTCTCAGTAGATTAGTTAACACTAATTTCCCACAGATAGACAGTGTGGGTATTGCTTAATGGCTCCTGCAGGACCAATGTTCTCAAGCTCTCTCACTGGAAAATTACATGCACTGCCCAATGCACAATTTAAGGCATTAATGAATTTATTCATTGGTTTGTTGTTGGGTATAATATGCAGTTGTTGTGTAAACAGTTTAGAAATCAAGAGAATTTGATGAGAACATACGTATGAGAACATATGCTTATACGTGCATCGGCAGAAAGGGTGATTATTTTCCTTTGCGATTTGAGGTGGACTAATGGTCTGCTAGCATTTACACTAGCATTTAGTGTTGTGATCAATGAGCCACTCTCTGATGTTTCTTTGTCTCTCTTCCCTTTCGTTCTCTGACCAGGTTATCCATGACCTCAGATTTACAGCATTACACTTTCAGGATGCCGAATATAGGGTTTCAGAACCTTCCCCTCAATATCTACATTGTTGTCTTTGGGACTGCCATTTTCGTCTTCATCCTCAGTCTACTCTTCTGCTGCTACCTGATTCGGTAAGACCACCTGGCTCTTCTATGTGTGCGACAGCAGAATGTGTTTGAACAAGCCTCAGAATGCCATACATTTGCTTATTTATCCTCTTCAGTCGGTTACAGGGTTTGAACGTCTTGATCTAATCCCTAAACATTCAGGCTACAAAACGGAACTGTTGTAATTAAACACCTAACACAATTAAGTGTAATTTGCATCATGATTTGTTAGGAAATTCTTGAAAAACGCAATCAACCCAGAATGTGCAAGTGGGTGTTGTTGGAACCATGGTGCACTGATGTTTATCTAGACAACTGTTGAATGCACCAATGCCCAAAGGTAAAATGGAAAATGGAAGGGAGTTTAAGAGACTTCTATGAGAGGATAGAGGAGGGCTGACAGATGATGGTGGAACAGAGAAGTTCCCTTTCATCTTCACACCGTATCCATTCCATGTGGGGCAGCTTTTATCATGCTCACTTTGAAGGCTGAACCAACTCTGAATTTCAGAGCCATGCTTTAATTATTAGTGGCTGCCCAATAAAGAGGTAGGGATAAATGAGCAACTTCATTGAATTCCTCAATATATAATAGGGATGTTCAATTTTTGTCTTAGCCTTGTTAAGCCATGGGTTCCCTCAGGAAATTTGGATTTAGTTTTGGATTTATGAGTAAAATAAGGTCTCCGGTTAACATTTGCTTGAAGAGACTTTCCTGATTTGATTTACGACATAAATTACACACAGTCATACTGTAATGGAAATTTGTTTAAACTATAAATTCCATTGGGAGCCCTCGGAAAATTAGCCTTCAAGGTTGGTCTGCAAACCATGTCTTTATGACGTGCATGAACAGCTCCACTGCAATGCAGCATTCCTTAAAAAAACAATTTATCAGGACAACAAGGCGACTGTATGGCATTTTGAAGAAAGATCCTGATTACTTGTGCCTGAAATGGTTTTTATGTGCGTGTTCGATGCACTAACAAAGCTTTTAATGAAGAGTGAGAAGGTCAAACAGCACAGTTTGGAGAAGCTAAGAGAGCTACTGACTTGATAATCTGAATTGAAAATAAAAGCTCCCCTGTGTGGATTTGGCTTGTAGTTTCCATGTAAATGGATGTAAAGCTTTTTATTTGCACATTAACTGAATCTAAAGCTGCTTAGCTGCACAATCCCGAATCAATGCATTTTCGACATCTACCGTACTTTGTCTCTCAAACTTCCCTTATGGTTTGAGTGAACTTTACAGGAGCTGCTCAATAACTTGAAGGACATTGGTTAACTTTTCTAGTGAGAATGAACCTGGTAATGATAAAACAACCAAACTGACCACTGATGCTTTAAGAAACTCTCCATTCTCCATGAGCTACAGAGCTGCTGTTGTCCAGTCAAATTTGCTATGTGGACATTCTTAGCAGCAGAGATACTGTAGCTTTAACGTGCAATCTGTTAGGATTGAATTAAGAATCTGTTACTTAAGACAGTGAGAACCAGCAGCTCTCATCCAAATTCAGCCTAACCAGTGGGGGAGATGGACCCCCTTACTGTATTTTCAAATGTGTATATGTATTGGTAGCCTTTTATAGTCTTATATTATTAATCTCAACAATGAAAACACTGGATTCTTGAATGAAAAACTGAGAAAAAAAGAGTTTGTATTTAGCCCAGATTCCAGACTTCTGAAGTCTCCCTTGCATTAGATCACAAATATTCATAACTTCCTCATTGAATTAACCAGCAAGCATTTGTTATGCCCCCATTACAAAAACACGCATACAATTGCCCTGAAAACTATTTGGACACTTTAGGCACACTTAAAATTCATTAACATCATTGCATTAAATAACAAAACGTCAAAATAACTTGCATTTGTTTTAGATGACTGCACAAGCACGTTTTTCACAAAGATATGTTTGTTAGGTACAGTAGGGCCACTGTACATCTGAAAACCAGCAGACGAGAATGGAAATGACAACAATTGCAATTTCAGCAAGTACCAAAATAGTAGGCTACCATTCTACCTAGCTGCATTTTTCATTATATTTTTAGCAAGCTATTTTTCACCTCGACATATACCTTCAGCATCATTGAAACAATAGGCAAGAGGCTGGAGTGCTTGTTCTCAGTATTTTACATTTAACAATTGCTTTTGACAGGATGGAGACGTCCCTACTGAGACCAATATATGCTGTGTTTTGAATGCTGGTCTCCAGCATTGGATATCTGTGAGCTTGTGTAACCAACAGGCTTCTTACTGGACTAGTTCAGCCAAAAAATGGAAATGAAATAAAATTCTGTCATTTATTCAAACTTTTGTTGACAAATACTCAGGCTGATCGGGTCAGTCTGACCTGGCCGACTATATAGACTTAAATGTCAGCCTTATCTACTAAACGGGCTTTAAAAGATTTGGAATATAATTGTATGGACCACAAGTAAGATACTTTTTGGAACACTTTACAATAAGGTTTAATTTGTTAACATTAGTTAACGCACTGTAAACTAACATGAACCATTTTTATTAACTAACATTAATAAAGGTTAATAAATGCTGTAATAATATACAGTATTGCTCATTGTTAGTTCAAATGAGTTAATGCATTAACAAATTAAACCTTATTGTTAAGTGTTACCATACTTTTATAGTTTGAAAACTCGAACGCTCCAGTCCCATGTCATTTTAAATGCATGCAATGAAAAAGACGACCAGCACATTATTCAAAAACTTTTCCTTGTGTTCCATGTGGAGAAAAAAGTAAGTTGTATGGGTTATGAAATTATAATAGGGAGTAAATAATGACAGAATTTTCCCTTATGGGTGAAACTATTCCTTCAGCTAACTTAACCAACTAGTTTTGGCTACACCAGTCCACCAGCTAGACAAGCACGAAGTTGGTCTTCCCAGCAGGGATTTTAGTGTAAAACATGCTTTCGTTTTAAAATCGTGATGAAATGATTGAGATCTGTGCAGATGGTCTCTTGACCTCTTTAGTTGTCGATTTAAACCGCTATTTTATCATGAACATCAAAGACTTGAATCAAGGACCACCAGATTGTAGAGTCGTGCGACTGTGGATTTTCAATGTGAAAGATGTGGGAGTCGTGAGCTCAAGTGGACCTGTGAAGGACGTCGTGATTCTGAGCAAACACACGCAGTCGCACGTAGCAGCCATGCACCAGCTCCGACACACAAATGTGAAATGCCCCTGTGACTGGCAAACACACACTTAGAGAAGAAAAGGGGTGGGTGGGTGGGTGTTTGTCTGGCACATGGGAAGAAAATCGAAATTCACACACACACGTCTGAGATTGAGCACGTTAATAGCTGTACCAGTTATATTACAATGCAGGGAAATGGTCACAAGGTGGTTTTCAACCTGATGAATTGTAACGCCTGCCTAATGGTGCGTTATAAATCATGACTGCCTGTAGTTTGTCAAACAACAGTTCATCTTGACCTAGCCCACCTCAGGTCAGGAACTAGACTCAAAGATGACTACACGAATTTAGCAACATAAATATCTTGATATTTTGCAATCCTTTCCGGTTTTGATCATACTTTTGCTTTGAAGAATGAATAGTCCACGATGACTTCTTTCATCCAGCCACGACAGACTTTAGGGGCCGTTCACACAGAACACATTTTTTTTTGCATTCCACTGCGCTTGATGGACGTGTTGCACTTGTGTAGTTAGCAATATCTTCAGCATGACACAGCATTCTAAAAACGCAGCGCTTAAGTTAAAAAATTCAACTTAAAAAAAAAAAAAGTCTCTCTAGACCTTTTAAACACAAACACTGTTCTGTGATAATGGCCTTTTAGACATGAACATTAGTGGTTTGTTTTTGCATTTTGATGAGTATAAATCACAAAAATGCCCTGAAGTACCCATAAATCACTCTTCCTCACCTCTAAATTCCTCCAAAGGGAGTATCTGCTCCTTTACCTGCTGGTCTCTTTCGGAATGTCAGTTTCTCTATTTTTTTTTTCACATCCAACTCTCTTTTCCCTTGAGACTTTTCTGAATAAATCTTATCTTTAATGAACTATATTAATTTCTGGATGTGATTGTAAGATACTGCAGTATTGTATGTTGTGTTCACTTGTGCCTTTCCTTTGTACAGGAAGTAATATTGGTCAGGTCTGAAATGTTGTTTGTTGTTGTTGCTAAATTAATTGTCATAGCTTCCACTGAATTTAAATATGAAGGGTTTCAGAAAAACAAACAATCATAAAAGGCCTAGATGAATGTCTTTTAAAGCTACTATTACTGGACTATTACTAATGTTCTAACAACCCTACGGACATAAAATAAACTTGAGGCTAAACATAGTGTATAGCGTTTGCTGGTTTTCCTTAAATAGCTTTTTTCTTACACTAGAGACTCTTCCATCATGCCTGACACATTCCAGTTATTTTCCATCAAGGTTCCTCTCTCTCTCTCTCTCTCTCTCTCTCTCTCTCTCTCTCTCTCTCTCTCTCTCTCTCTCTCTCTCTCTCTCTCTCTCTCTCTCTCTGTGTCACACACACTTGCTCAAGATCAAAATAGTGTTAAATGTAGACTGTCTAATGCTTGGCTGCCTCCATTTCTTGAGTTCATGCCAGGAGTATCTGTATATAGTTCTTTTAAAGGGTCTGGCACCGGTCTGACAGTCACACTCGGTAAAGCATTGCAGCGGTGTGAGTGGGTAATGCCTGGGCAGTTTGGTTCAGACAGGCTGTTAAAGTCTGGTCAAGCTTAATGAGACAATACAAGACCTAAATCACCCTGAAAGACTCTAAAGATAGTTTAAACATACCCAAGGCAGCTCAAAGCACCGCTAGAACTGGACGCAGACAATGTCAAAGGAAGAGGAAGTTATTTTTTTAATAAAAAGCAGGTTGATTTTGTGATTAAGATCAAATGTAGTGGATAAAATGTATACTTTGGTGGCATCCAGTGAAAAATGAAACTTAGCAACACATCAAAATACACGTTATATGAAATATGTGGTGAATCATTTTTTTTAATTCAAAGCTTTTTAAATGATCAGCACAGCTAAAGTTATGCCTTATTGGGACTGAAAGCTACAATTTGTCAAATTGTGACTGAAAAAAAAGATTCAGGCATGGATTGACCATATACAAACCCAGAAGCACAATGCATTTTTCACACCCAACAAAACCCATTGGAATTTAAAATGGTCTGTGTTTAGTATCATGGTTTAACTCAATGACTTTGGCCTTTGTTTGTATATAGTTTGGTATCATGATTGTCTCTCCAACACAGGTTTTTGAAAATGTTGTCACCCTCTGAACTAAAACAAAGATGTCTTTTGCCTAGGTTACGGCACCAGGCACACAAAGAGCTCTATGCATACAAGCAGGTAAGCTGCTATTCAAACACTTTACTCTATTGTATAAATGTACATTATTTACTGCATGATTCAAAGTGGGTGTGAACGTGAGGGTTTCGGTTACTTTTTCATGCAATTTCAAACGTTTCGGCTATAGTCTCCAAATTGTGATTGAGTCTTACTCCAAGTATATCAATTACTAATTAAGTTATTTTTTCGTTTACAGGTTATTCAAAAGGAAAAAGTCAAAGAATTAAACTTGCATGAGGTAGGAGTTCCCCCTTTTATCCAGCTGTGCAGAATTTTTTTCTATAATATATATTTTTTTGTGGCCAATCATTTACTAGATGTTTCAGGCAAGAGGTTAAATATGTGCTGATATGTGGCATATGAGATTTAAAGGACGTCTTTGAGTTTCACTCTCTTCATGTTTAATAATAGCATGAGCGTATGACGTTTAACCTTCACCAGTTCGTACATGACCACTATCATTTTGCTAGTGCTAATAGGACAGACTGACTTCATATGTGAGTGCTAATGAAATGGTAGCGACAATATTGAGGTGTAAGGACACCAATGCTCTTGTTGAAAGCTCAAACTCTCCTGGAATTTGCTGAAGCCCTTCTTTCCCCCTTTCGGTCTCTTATAAGAGCTCATTATCAAAGAACAGTTTCTACTTTTAGGTTATATTTTTAGCATCCTGGCTAAAGCTGGATATTCAAGCAGCTATTTTAACCAAACAGTAATATTTCTCTTCTGGCTGTGGATGTGCATGGATACCATGTAATCTTTAAGCAAAACAATGACAGCATTGTGTTGTGCTGAACTGAGTTATGTTTTGTTGGAAGGATCATCCTCGTGTCACGTCTGGCTTTTTTTTTCTTTTTTTTTTTTCTTTTTGCATTTGATACAACAGCACAGCAATTGCAAGTTGTATGCATGGTGCAAGTTTGTTCAACAACAACTCTGTTCAACATTTTATCTGGGTAAAGAACACAAAGTTCTCTCAGCCACTGTATTTTTATCCAAAGAAGTGCTAGAAATGTCATTAATATTAACAGCGCTGTCAGTGATTTAATATTAGTAATTTCTTTTTAAATGTTGCCTGAAAATTGTTAGCACTGCCCAAGAAGTGCCAAGCAAATGTCATCCACACTTGTAAGCACAGGTTTTTTTTAATGGTATTCTACATGTTTTTTTGTTTTTTGTTTTTTACTTTCTGTGCCAGCAGTCATGACACTCATTTGTCAGACTCAATGTTTTATAGTTGATATTGACTTTTTTCACGAATAGCTTTTGGGAAACACTTTCATCCATGAGTCTGATACTTGCTTTTCCCGCCCCCCAAAGATGTTACCATTTCCACATTTGCAGGTGTTTCCATCTAGGGCTGAAAGATATATAGAAATGATCGAAAAATCGCAAATGTACAGTACATAACCCGATATAGGTAACACTGTAGTTTAGAGTCCAATTTCACTATTAACTAGTTGCTTATTAGCATTCATATTTCTAGGATCTTGGCTGTTTATAAGTACTAATAAAGCACATATCCATGCCTTATTCTACATCCCTTAATCCTACCTAATTCCTACCCAATACCTAAACTTAACAACTACCTTACTAACTATTATTAAGCAGTAATTAGGAATTTATTGTGGCAAGATGTAGTTAATAGTTAGTTAATAGTGAGAATTGGACCCTAATCTAAAGTGTGACCGCAATATGCAACTAATTTTATTTAAAATAAAATATAAAATACAGGCATAAAATACATTTCAGGCATTATGTCTCAGTTTCAGTTTTTTATATTGATGATGAAAATAAAAATATTAACAGTAATAACACTGAGCCTTCCTGTAGCTCAAACAGTAGAGCATTACAAGTACCAAGGTCATGGGTTCGATTCCCAACAAGAACTGATAAGAATGTAAATGTGTTCCTTGAAATGGATAAAAGTAAATGTAAATGAGATTTGTCAACCAATCTTGCAATGTTTCATAGGGCATTTGTGAAACTGAAAATACATTTCTATAACTTTCCCCACGTATGTACTGGTAATTCGGGATTGTACTTGCATATGTGCTCAGACAGGAAGGGGTGGGGGCTACAAGCTGATTGGTCTCTCCATTCTGTGCACACAAAAACAATGTTATGATTGTATGCCACAGGCATGGGAGTTTTTCTCTAGCATAGTTAGAGGTTACAAACATTTAGCATAGCATTTCACAATTAGTGTTTACCCCTGAGCAACATGAAATAATTGGTTCTGAAATATCATAAACTGACATATTACTGTGTTTAAAGACAAAAATGAGAATTCTGCCTTAATTTTTTTCACCCTCGTGTTGTTCCAAACCTGCTAAGTCATACTTTATTTTAGGTGGCCTTAACTATCTACTAACATTAAAAAATACCTACAAGACTATGGTTTTACTGTGTAACTAACTACATGTTGTTCTGGAAAATTCCCACATTTACTGCTAATGAGTTTGAGGTATGGTTAGGTTTAGGGATAAGTGTAAGGATCATGGGGGTTAGAGTTAGGTTCTGGGGTAAGGGTTTGGGTGTTAATGTAATGTTAAAAGCTAATTAAATGTACTTTACCATATGTAAATAATACGGATATCGGGTAACCCTTTATTTTACAGTGTCCTTGTTACATATGTTACATGTACTTACCATAGTAATAACAGTAAATTATGCATAATTACATGCAACTAACCCTCAACCAAATCCTAATCCTACCCTAACCCTTTAGTAAGTACATGTTGTTTATTAATATTACTCAGTACTTAAATGTATAGTTACACTGTAACAATGACACCTTAAAATAAAATGGAACCGTATATTGTATAAAATGGTTAAGTACAGTACATAGTTGTTAAAGGCTTTAGTTCATCCAAAAATGACAGCTCATTTTTTTAAACAACGTCTTTACTACCTTTGCAATAACGTTGCTGTCTATGGGGGATCAGAAAAAGCTCTCGGATTTCATCAAAAATATATTAATTTGTGTTCCGAAGATGAACGAAGGTCTTACAGGTTTGGAACGACATGAGGGTGAGTAAATAATGACAGAATTTTCATTTTTGGCCCACCGACAAATAAATACACTTTCTTCTTGATGGTGAGAAAATGATGACAGAATAACATTTTTTGGCTGAACAATCCCTTTAACTAGATTCACTTCACTAGATCCTACATTGAATTAAGGAGTGTCCGGCCACAGCATGTGGCGTCGGCTTTTAAGTTCAAGCCCCCATGAGTTAGAAAGGTGATCTGTCTGACTTCATGAGCAGAATTATACACCCTCACACTCTATCAACTGTCCTTGATCTTACATAAGATACAGGGAACTTCAGCGTGAGACGAGTGAATATAATCTCATCTCTCGAAACATTAAGTACTCTGATAATATACAGACAGACAAATTGTACGGTAGAGCTTATGCACTGATGATTGATATGCAAACACGCTGGTGCAGAAAACTAGCATATGCGCCAGACAGTTGCCAAGATATGGATCCTCAGATGGCAACCAGTGAGAACAGCATGGACATAAATATCACAGCGTCAGTGAGAAAGATATATTGTGCGTAATTCCACCGCAGTGAAACAGTCGTATATAAAACTTGTTTTATAATACTTGCTCGTAGATGCAGCTCTCTAGGTGAGAGATCAAACAGACGAGAGCGGCAGCGTGAAACGGACTGAGCAATGCTTATGAAGGTTTATTTCTGTTCGTTAAAAAAGACACCGGGGAGTCACGTTTGAACTGCAGAGGTGGTCCTTTCAATTCAGAAGCCTAGCAGAGGGAAGAAAATAGAGGGCCAGGATGTTAATAAAATAAAAAGACATTATGGTTCAATGGCATACCATCACTGTAATGCACTATTCTGATAGGAAGGACACTGGCCTGGTTGGATGATCGATTATAAACAGATTGGCCTTGCTTGGAGTATAAAACAGTAGGGAAGTAAAGGCAGTGTTTGTTTTGTTTTTTTGTTGAATGCAGCTACATGTTTTGTGTTATGAAGAGACATTCACACATGGGCGTATTCTGTCCCTTGCTGGCCCCGTTAATGCCATTCTTTCCTGACAAAACCCAACAGTGTGTATTCAACAGACAATTTCTTATTCTCGCAGTCTCGCTCATCTCAAACACAGAACCATTGTGTCTCGATAATTCGCTGACCACCCCCTGGTCAGGGTCAATGACACCTAAAGCACTAGGACTCTATCTTGTTTTATGATACACACACAGAACAGTAAATATCTGTTGTGACAGACACCCATGTGCCCAGGCACATTTGTCCGAAACCCCTTTTGTTCTCTTACAATTACTAGTTGTGCATTTCCCTGCTCCCTTATTTGCTGTCAGCAAGGTTAATGAAATATTTAATTTGTGCAGAGTTCTGAAAAGATGTCCTAGATAATCTGTTTTAACTTTCACTAGCATTATGAATTATTCCAACAAGGTATTATAACGCATTTAAATTGTGAATAATATCGGATGTTAATTTAGTTTTATGATATAATTTGTTACTTGAAGTGTCTTAACCCTGTAGTCAGGATTTTATTTTATTGGTAACACTTAACAACAAGGTTTATTAGTTAATGTATTAACTAACATGAACTAACAACGAGCAATACATTTGTTATTTGTTATTTATTAATCTTTGTTAATGTTAGTTGTAATACTTTGTTTATTGAGATACAACAGCTTATGCCAGTATAATACAACAATAACGTAAATTAAAAGGTTGGATCTCTTTTACATAATAAAAAATAATAATAATAATGAAAATAAACAAATAGTAATAATAAATAACAAAAAAAACAAAAAAATAAAATAAAAAAGAATATGTTTACATGTATTTGTTAATGTTAGTTAATAAAAACACAGCTGTTCATTGTTTGTTCATGTTAGTTCACAGTGCATTAACTAATGTTAACTAATGTTTGTTTTTTTAGTAAAATGTCACACCATTTTGAGAATACTTAAAACGTTTTTTTTTTTTAAATACTTAGGTTATATTGTTTTATTTTTAGGTTATATTATTGGTTTCTAAAGCATTTTTTTAATATACTGCTTTGTTACCTGACTGCAACGCAATGTTGTAAAATGTTGTGACTTCATATATTTTATGCTTTTTTGGAATCCATAACATAATTTTTATGCACATTTCCAGCATTGTTTGCATCAGTTAAGCACTGGTTTAATCTGTTTACCCTGAATCTCCCTGCCTCGCCTTTTCGGCTTTACCTCATTTCACTTTGTTATTTTCTTTAATTTTAATGACTACTTTATCAAACTAGCTAGTAGCCCTCAGCTTTATATCTTTTGCCTACCTCTAGATTACATCACCATTTGATTACGTCCAATTGTTCACAGAATTCAACTGTCTGATGTGACAGGTCGTTTATCAAAGTGTTTAGCTTGGCTTTTACAGAACCAGGTCTAGATTTTTTTCCCCCCCTAGATGAAATGCCATATCTGCACCCCGACCTGGCAAACGTCACTGCTAGATTACAAAGGAAACTTCTTGAGTGTAGACCATTTCCTGAATAAATACAGCATTGCAACATGTCTTCCTGTCTCACTGATCTTTGAAGGTGATAACATCCATTACTTGTCATGGCATGTTGAGACAAGTGTATTTTATGGAAGTGTTGTCTTCTTTGAAGACAAAATGTTTATATTTAAACATTTTATCTGTGTTCATTGGAATTTATTGTTTTCTCTCTCCAGATTTGTGCGGTGTGTTTGGAGGAATTCAAGCAGAAAGATGAGTTGGGAATCTGCCCGTGTAAACATGCCTTTCACAGAAAGTGAGTGCCCTGGCATATGTTGCTTTCTAAAACAGGAAAATGTCCGCACCACTGGCAGCTCCAAACAAAGTTTTGCAGTCTGATTCTATTCTAATAACATTATAATTGGATTACCTGTTTGACGAACAGTGGCAGACAGGTCGTTTTGGACACTTGAAAAAGCCATTCTGATTCTGCTAGTGGCATAGATGACATCAATTACGCCCTTAAAACATTACCCTAAATACAAATTTGCAATGTTACATGCCATGGTTTCAAGAGTGCTGGATAACTGTGCTCTGAAATTGATCTAGTTGAAATGTGTCTGATTCACCCATCTTCTCATTCGCCCCTTTGTGAAACATTTGCACTGGGCTGTATGTCAGTAAATGCCAAAGTAAATGTCAGAGTAATGCTTGGACACTTATCAGAGGGGTTGGGAGCTCTTTGTTCTTTTTAAACATTTCAACATTTTAGTTTGCCTCTCTAGGAACCCAGACAAATTTTAGAGCATAAATGGTTCATTGAAGTGAAGTCAACTCGTATATGAAATGCTTGTATGTATATATTTATGTAAAATTGATGCACCTCTTGATGGAAATAACATCACAACATTTATCCATACATTTTTGGTCACGATCTTGTATTGAGTCAAGCACTCTGTAAAGTCTCCTCCAGCACAACCCAAAGACTTTCAATGAATATAAGGTCTGGACTCAAGAGTTGGCAATTCTTGTGTGAAAATGATTCTTCATGCTCCGTCCAACTTGAGCCTGATGAATCTTGACATTGTCATCGTGGAATCTGGCCATGATGTGTTTTCCTACATGGTTGTTAAGAAATGAAAAGATACACACTCCATCAATTAGGGTCAGAAGAACTGTTGCCATACATATGGGCCTACAGTAACATGCTAGAAACATCATAATCACTGCAATAATGATCCAGTCATAGACTCTTAAAGTCCCTGTAAAGGCAATTTCAAAAAAAAATTCTAAACACATTATAAATGTTAGAAATGTATTGCTAAAACATATTACAGAGACTGTGAACTGTGAAGTACTGAATTGTGGAGTTAGACCGTTAAACAGTTTTTCACCATTGCTATTTTCCGGATTTTCTGGGCGGGGCTAAAACAGGGCTCGATGACGCACTGGAGCCCTTGAGCTCCTGGACACGCCCCTACTTGATGACGCACTGGAGTAGCTGAGGCTTGCCGCTCCTAACAATATTATAGAGCACATTCACATCAGTTTGCCGCTCAATCGCGAGTTACTGTCAGTACTATTATTAGTAACACAGCCTACAGATTGCTGGCTACTAGCTATGCCTTCGTCACGGAAATGCGTACTACCTGGATACGATCACCGGATCACGTACAAAACAGATCGGTGTCCTTGTTTAAATTTCCGAAAAACGATTACATCAAGAAGAAGTGGATTAATTTTGTGAAGAGCCACCTTGATGGAGAGCTGAGGATCACCGCCAAAACCCGGTGATCATTTTACACGGGATAGTTTTATAAACTTTCGTCAGAGATAACTGTCTGGGATTCACTGATAATCCGCTGTTACTGGTGAATGGGGCCGAACCGCCTCCCGCCTCAGCCTTCATCCTCCCGTCGCGCCGACAACTGGTGCCATCATCGGCAGTGCGTGCCCACCGTGCGAGCATCCATTCCGGCTGTAGAGTTGAGTGTGGCGACGGCAGCTTTCCCGCGAGTGGGCGTGGTTTCAGCGCAGCCAGTGGACACGCCCCCAGCGTTTGAGAGCAGAGATTACTGCTCATTTTTTCAAGATTTTGATAGCTTATTTTATGTACTTGCTGGCTTTTTTTATCATTCAAATTTGGCTGGGTGACTAATAACAAATTTTTCTGTGGTGTGACAAACTCAAAACACATACTTAATTTTGACTTTACAGGGACTTTAATTATTTGCCTATTTAAATCCAAACTGCGACTTTTTTTTTTCCGGGCAGTGTAATATAAACATGTTTACACCTATACCAGCAAAATGATCTGCCATTTAAAAAGAAAATTGTATTACTTAGTCTGTACCAAATGATGCGAACGCACAAAGATATAAAGCCACAACATTCTGCTTCGAGGAATGAATACACAGTGTCGGACTTATAGTGAAGTTTAAAAGCCTTTCCTTTCGACTCACGAAGATATCGCCAGTTTTTTCTGCTTCAATGTTAAGAATTCCAAGAGCTGACAACCTTGGTTCACTCATGGTTGTATAGTCTATACAATATGTATGTGTGTGTGTATATATATATATATAAAATGCTATATTGTTATATGTATTATTATTATTTAGGCTACTGTTAATAATTAATATTAATAATGTTAATAGTTAATCATTTTATGCATTAGAAGCTCGTAGTGTCATAGTTATGCCACAAGGGTGTTGTGATCAAATCAAATCCCTAAAAATCCCTGCTGTCAGTGGTTAAATGTAGACTTCTGTATCATAGATCTGTTTGTGTACCTAATGGGACCAACACGGCCTAAAATAGAACTGTGCTTACAGTGAATAATTCATCAGAAAAATGCCAACATCTCACTCAGACAAACCCTAGATTCAGTCTCACATTCCACATGGGCTTCCTGCAAGGAGACGCCCAGCTTCGCCAACACAGCCAGCCATGAGATATCAAATGAGATCACTTTTGACTTGCTACCAGTATTAGTTCGGGTTAGTGGAGCCTGTTTGTAGTGGGCAGTTTCACATACTCTGCTGTGATCTGGGAAATTTTAAGCATAATGTTATCTAGTTTGCCTTTCATCTTCCGCATTGTCTCTGTGTCTCTCTCAGGTGCCTTATCAAATGGTTGGAGGTGAGGAAGGTATGCCCGCTGTGCAACATGCCAGTCTTGCAGCTGGCGCAGCAGCAGAGCATGTCCGAGCCTGTGCCCCCAACACAGCAGCCTCTGCCCGGGGTGGAGAACCTGGTGTAGCCCCTCCTCTTTATCCTAAAAATATGACCACCACTACCTTCACACTCCCTCCTGTACAGGTACACGCTCATATCCAAGGACAGACCGCAGGATCTGTGCCCGGAGCCACAGTGACCTCTGACCTGCATATGTTCCTTTCCTGCCTTGGTGGCTTTATAACGGATTTTTTTCCAAATTACAATAATAGATGATTTACTCCATCCGTCTTATTTGGGTTTAGCTTTCTTTCCTGTGGGATAATGAAGAAGAGTTTTACATGGCCAAGTCATGTTTAATGTAACCGTTCCACACCAAAGCACTTTTTTTGAGGACACCAGTGAGAGGCAAAAAGTACAAGGACTAAAAAAAAAATAACATTAAAAACAAAAAACTACTTTTTTAACCGTTTTTTTTTTAACAAGCACTTTACACAAAACTCAAACTTAGTTGCTTGTGGTAGTAGCAAGATCTTGTTTTATATTTTATGATTTAAAACATTTTTTAGTTGATGTACACAGAGCCACAGAGCAAACCATTGGTATTATTTTCATTAGAGAGGGTTATGTTTATACTGTATATTAAAGGGACAGCAGCTCTCCAATGTGTATATGTTTGTTTGTTTGTGTTGTGACGGTCAGTAGAATGGCTGTATTGGTAGATATGGTTCGCTGCGACCTTTAGCTGGTGCCCAAAACAAATGTGAATGCAGTTTGTGTTATAATGGTTGGGATGTGACCCAGCAGTATTTGATCTGTGTTCTGTGGACGCCTTTATATTTGACATGCTTTTTTAACTGAGGACTGTGTTAAATACACACAAACACACACACACACACACTTCTGTAGCTTTGAGTTCAAGGCTGTATTTGATGAGAATATTAAAGTAACTAAAAAGTGCAAAAGAAAAAAACACTATTGTCACTCTTAGGGTGTGTTCACAGTCACACTTGGCATGTTTGGTTCGATTAAAATGAACCCTGGTGCGATTGCTCTGTTAGTGCGGTCCATTTGAATAAGTGTCATCTGGACCCTGGTGCGCACCAAAAAAGCAGACCGAGACCGCTGAAAAGATGGGTATCGGTCTGCTTCCAAACCAACTCTGGTGCGGTTCGAATGAAATATGAACACAGCACAGACCAGACATGTAAACGAACCAAAAACGGGACATGATGTCACAAGATAAATGCTTAAAGGGATACTCCACCCAAAAATGAAAATTCTGTCATCATTTACTCACCCTCAAGTTGTTGCAAACCTGTATGAGTTTCTTTCTTCTGCTGAACAAAAAGGAAGATATTTTGAAGAACGATTGGAACCAAACGGTTGTTTGGCACCATTGACTTCCATAGTAGAAAAAAAAAATACTATGGAAGTCAATGGTGCCAAAGTTCCAATCGTTCTTCAAAATATCTTCCTTTGTGTTCAGCAGAAGAATTTTTGGGTGGAGGATCCCTTTAAGCATACCTATTTTTTCAGGTAAATATACGCAATAAAAGCCTACCAATCAGGTTGTGAACGTATCGCTTTGCCTTTAGGTTCGGTGTTTAAATGCCAATGTGAATGCTAAACGGACCAGGACTAAATGTTTTCTGTTGGAAATGTTGGTCCGGACCAAACAAACCAAGCGAACACCCTTAAACGTGATCAGATATTCTAAATAATTAAGATTTTCCCACCCAGTCTAAATAACGTGACAATTATATACAGTAAATAATACCTTTAATTTTGTAAGTAGCTTGCAGACCCCCTGCAATATGTATGATGTCGGCCCACACTTTGGGAACTGCTGCCATAAACCCCTCCTGTTTCCACTAACTGTTCATAGTTGAAGCATTAGTCAGTTTCTGGCTTCAGTTTCCCCATCCAGTCTTTTTTCAGCTGCAGAGTTCTGCAGATGTGTTATAGAGTTAATGAAAATAGTTGCAAATTTAAACTCAACAAAATGTCCCAAAGATAGTGTTTTGTCTTTCATGATTTATGATTGCATAAATCGCCCAGGTTTTATTCCCCAGGATGTATTATTTTTTCTTAGTTATCACGTGTCTCCCAGGAAAGCTGTGGCTCTATGCAAAGCAGCAAGTGTGTGTGTGTGTGTGTGCGTGCGTACGCACTTGGCTTCAAGCCCTAAATCTGTCTCCAACGAATATTAATAAACGTAATGACGCTCTTGTGAGGCAAATCAAACTAGACATGCTACAGAAACAAACTTAGATCTGACCAGAAGTCACTGAAATTGGAGAATGTCCTCAGTACAGACCCAGCTGATATACACAGTCTAGTTTAGTATCATTCCAGCATCTTTCAGCATGTCAGTGAATCAGTCCAACACTTTGTAACACAGAATCCTTAGCCATTAAGATCAATGAGTAGCAGGGTCGATACAGTCAGCAGGATGGGGCGTTCTTTGGAAGCTCTGGCTCTATCTTGCTCTATAGTACTTTTTTTCTTCTTCTTCTTTTTCATCCCACTAACCTCATTGGGTCAGCTGTGCCCTCCATGTTAAGGCAGTCTAGAAAAATATGTATAATATTACATACGGACTGGCCACAACTCTAGAAATGATGCCAAATGTAGAAACATTTTGTTGCTGAGTAGAATTACATACGGACTGGCCACAACTCTAGAAATGATGCCAAATGTAGAAACATTTTGTTGCTGAGTAGAATTATATGACACAAGTAATGTTTTATATAAACCCAAACTAAATCTGCATTGGTTTTATTTAACGTGCTATCTGGTCATGGATTGAATGTTGTAATTCATTGCCAAGCAAAATGCCCAACATGTTCTGCGGTGTGTATTTGTGTTTTTGAAAGGCTAGATTCAGACTGTGAATTAAGTTAAGTTTATTTAATAAGATTTTATTTTTTATTTATTTCTTTCAATTTTTTTCCTGCATTTGCTGAGTGTGTGAAGAATCTCTTGTGCATATTATCTAAAAAGAAAAAAATATAACAAAAAAAAAAATAAGGCTTTTTTTATATATATATACTTCTTTTGGTTTGCTCTGATACTTTGTCTTAACTTAAGGTAAAACACTGAGGATTTCCTTTAGATTTGTAATTCCTTATCGACAAATAGCATTCAATTGTGAGTCCTAAATTAGGATCTCTCCTTCATCTCTTTGGCGTTTGTAACACGGCAGGTCTTAAAGTGTCACTCTGATCACTAATGTATACATATAGAGAGCTGTGGTTCAACTGTGTCATTATAATGTGAAAGTAGTTGATTGTGTCTAAAAATCGAGTTGCGTCGCTGCACTTTTCATATTCTTCCATTTTGGTGGTATTGGTGCCTCTCCATTGAGGCAGAACTGAAATGGGGCAAAACAATATTCGTATTTATTGTGTGCTAAGGTTTAAAACCCATAACAGCTAAATAGTATGTTCTAACAGCTCTAATTTAGTGATAATGCAGATTAGGCAAAGAAAGGCTTTGTTGACATTGTTTAAAGCAATTTCGAAATCCAAAATCGCTCTGAAAACATATCTAGAAAGTCAAATTAGCACGTTTATTCAGGAGGTAGTCCTCAAGCAGATTGGGAATGTTAAGTGATGGGCTACATTTTTGCTCAGCATATTCAAACTAATGTTTGTTTGTTTTTTACTGATCATTACTGAGAGTGCCATATCTGGTTGACCAATTGTATTTTGAAAAGACAAAATTAGGATTTCAGTTGCAACTTTACAACTTGTGTTTGTTCCCGGCAGGCTTTTTAGACTAGATGACATTATATTGTGAGAAAAGATTGTTGAAAAGAGATTGACAGTTTTCTGTTGCAAAGTAGCAGTTTTTTCATAGAATGTGGTCAAGAGTTGCTAACTTGCTAAGGCACATAATGTAATTCAAACATTGTATTAAATTCTTTTTAGATACATGATTATTATTCAAACTTAACTGCCAATTTATCAACCCTTCCAAAGTCATTGTGAACCACCATGGAACTTCCTCCTTCCCCACACCACTCTTTTGCTTCATTCTGAGATGACCTATATGGCCCCACCCCTCACCATTGTGACCTCACAGATGTAAGCATAAGCCCCGCCCCTTCCCAACACAGTCTTGTTTTAACACTGCTAATGTTTGTGAATCTCACAAACATGTTTGTATAAGTAAGAATTCTGCAGCAGAATATTTTCTGTATAGTATTTGTAAACTATATTTTTGTATATTTAATCAACATTTTGAAGAAAATAAAAAAATGCAAAGATGCTTTTTTGTGCTAATTTTGTGTTATATTCATTAAAATATGTTGCATGTGACTGACTTGAATTGTAAATAAAGTTGCCAAGTTTTTGAAATAAAGAATATTTGTTGTCTTTTAAGTTTGAAAAACATATTTCTTCAAGATCTGCACTGTAGCATTACAATACATGTAGATTGGGGGATAGTGGGGTAAGCTGTGCCACCTTTTTACCAATTTTATTTCTTGGTAAATGTATTCTTACCAATTTATTTCAACGCACCCTTCTCTCTGAAGTCTAGCCAACAGGATATATATATATATATAGTGCTGGGAAGTAATCAGATTACAAAAATGAAGTACTTGTAATTAAATATTACGGTTTGAAATACTCGTAATCAGATTAGTTACTTTTTGTATTGATTACATGATTACATGTTATTCTCACAATGGCAGTAAATTATTCATAATTCTCATAATTCATGATTCTCCCTATTACTACTTTATCTTTTCAATTTTCCTTTCTAATAAAGCCTACTGCTTATAAACGTTTAGAAGGACTTCCAGGTTTGTGGAATCGCACACACAGATCAGCCACTAGTCATGTGCCTATCGCTGAAAACTGAGACCCACACAGCAAATGATCACTGGATTTACAGAAATCATTTCACTTTTAAGAAGTGTTTTTTTCAACATTGCATATCTAATCAGCTCCCGACGAACACATTCATTATTTGAATTATCATTCAGTGAGTCATTACTGTCTTTGGAAGGCTTTTGTCTTTCAAACAATGTACAAATTCATATTTACATGGAATGCAGGAATTCCTCAACTTTTTTGTAAGCTGACCCTCTTTGACCTGAAGTAGGCTACCCCTTAGATTTTAAGTTAAATAAGTTAGGTCAAATATAAAATTAAGTCAATAATAATAAGTTCACGGTTCTCTGAGGTCGGTTAATGGTCAAGACATGCAGGTAAACAAATAAAAGATTTTATCTTGTTTTGGAAATTGTTTTATTTTGATGGTTTTTATTTTAAAATTATTTATTTAAAGGTGCATTGCGCTAGTCTCTGAGTTTTTGCAGAACTATGCCCCCTCTGGCGACAAGCGAAACTGCAACCAGAGGTGTGCACGCTCATGGACCACACGAACACGCACGCTTGCACG